CACACAGAGAGAGAGAGAGAGAGAGAGAGAGAGAGAGAGAGAGAGAGAGAGAGAGAGAGAGAGAGAGACAGACAGAGGTAGAGACAGAGAAAGCTGGCTTGACAACGGACAAAAGTCAAAAGAAATGAAATAGAATTTACAGAAATGTCAAAACCAAGTGATAAATTCGAGAAGTCAATTTTGATATCACCAGAGAGTTTGCCATTTCCTTCAGCATGATTTCTACTTCTGCTATCTACCATCTATGGAAATGATTTACGCGTCTCAAAGCTTGTTCTGGTACCAAGTCCCAATTTTCCCTTTACCATAGACCCTTTCCCCTAGGCGGGTAGAAGTTTCAAGCAGGTACCTATGAATAGGCCGTAGACTAGGATCTGTAAAAGTCTATAGACATCAGAAGTTCGTTACACCACGAGTCAACCCCCGGGTTACTATCAGCTCAGTCCAAGGAAAGCCCAATGACAGTCTGAATCACGACCGAACGTGGGCAGGGCTGCCAGGGCTGACGCCACAATTCCAATTTTGGCACTGCAGCAGTGCAGAAGTCAAGTTGCAGGCAGCATCGACATTTTTTGCCTGTTGTGATGTCATGGAAGTGCTGCTGCGTTATTCTGCGACCTTGCCCCGACCGCGAGGGAAACAAGGGAGGGTAGTTGTAGTCAACAAGGCCCAGTGCCATAAATGCTACAAGAGAGAAAGTGAACACATGCAGAGGGAAAAGAGGGGCATGAGGAGAGAGAGAGAGAGAGAGAGAGAGAGAGAGAGAGAGAGAGAGAGAGAGAGAGAGAGAGAGAGAGAGAGAGGAGAGCCATATCTGCTTATTGTTGTTGTCCACAACGATCATGGGCAAAGCTTGATTGGGCTGTGTATGTAAGTTAAGAGTTTCCAGATAAATTTCAAGTGTGCATCTATTGTGTGAATCACTGAATCGGGATTCCTGCATGCGTGTTGAGCATAATCAAGCTGGTGTGAAAACCGAATCAAAGCAGTGGTGCAGGGCCAGATGGCAGATGCGGAAAAAATGAAAAAAAAACGGATTTGCAGAGGTCCAGGGGGCCGCAAAAAAGGACCGCCATGCTCACATAACACCACACAAGATAGATATGACAAAGGACAATCAATCCTTCACTCCGACCACATTGCAATCCACCATGCTCACATAGCACCACACAATGGCACACACGCAGCTAACATAATTCTACATGGTCCTGCACTCTACCCATGTGATACCACACACCCAACTCACATAGCACAACACTCTACCACCAACACAGCATGGTACTGCACTCTGCACACCCAACTCACACAGCACGACACTCTGCCCACATTATACCGCACACTGTTGCTTTACAGTGCCTACGTGGTACTGCACTCTACACTCATAGCCCTGCACTCTGCCCACATAGTACTGTACTCTGCCCACATAGCAGACACCGCACCAACCAACAAGCAGAAGAAAAAAAACAAACAAAGAAAATTGGTCCGCTTGACCGCTAGAGAAACACAGGTCACAAGCACTATCATCTTGAAGAAATGATGGAGGATGAAAAAAAATAAATGAAGAAGAAGAAGAAGAAGAAGAAGAAGAAGAAGAAGAAGCAATTCCCCTTTCTAATGCCAATCAGGGTCCGACTTGTTGCCGAACATCCCGTCGCTGTCATCCTCCGGTGTGGTGGGATCGTCATCGATGATGCGGGGTTGCTCTTTGCGTGGCCGCCCCCGCCCCCGTTTGACTGCCGGCACCTCGGGTTTTACCTCATCTTTGCGGGGCCGACCACGCCCCCGTTTCACTGTTGGCTCAGCAACCGCATGATCAACAGGCTTCCTCTTTCTGCCTACCCGAGTGACCTCCAAATTGTCTTGCACGAGGTCATCCTGCAAGGTAGTGAAAGGCAGTGGACACTGCATCTGACGCAGCTGCTGAGATGCTTGTTGTTGCTGCTGCTGGTGAAGGTGAGGTTGCTGCCGCTGCTGATGTGGTTGTTGTTCATGTCGCTGCCCATACTGCTGGAGTTGTTTCCGTTGTTGCTTATACAGTTGCGCATTGTCATGCTGCTGTTGGACATCCGCCCGTGTATCCTCCTGCTGTTGCGACTCTATGTCGTGCTGCTGCTGTTGCGTGTCCTCCTGCTCTTGGACATCTTTCCGCTTTTGTTGTTGCTGCTGCTGCCCATCCTCCTGCTGCTGCGACTTTATGTTGTGCTGCTGCTGTCGCGCATCCTCCTTCTGTTGGACATCCTCCCGCTTCTGTTGCTGCTGCGACTCTATATCAACAGAAAAATTCCCACGAGAAATTGAAGTTGAAAAAACATTCCATAAAAAAAAATCCGTCATATTTATAAATTATCATTCCAACGTTCGTTCAATTCTAAAATTTACAGTTTTATTTGATAAGTTCCCGTCTAAGTATGAGCTTTCCCTTCCAACTACATCTATTTGTTCAATATGGAATGAAAGTCTAGACGAGTTTATGAAATGTTTTAATTAAACTTTCATTCTACTGCAACAAATATCTTCTAATTTAGATTGGATTAGCCTATTTATGACTGGAAATCCTTACTTAGAATGAAAGTCCAATTAAAATATTTCATGAACTTATCCAGACTTTCATTCCATCTCTAGCATGCAGTTCAAATAAGAAGGGATACCCCATTCTTGGAAGGAAAGTTTTAAGTAAGACGGAAAATTTTTAAATTGGAATGACATTTTTTAAGATGGAATGAAAATTTCAAATTTGGAATGTAATTTTACTATAGAATGATTATTTAATTTTGGGAAATTTTTCTGCTGATCGGATCGCTGCAACTCTATATCATGCTGCTGCAACTGCTCCTCGTCCTGCTGCTGCATGTCCTGCCGGTTTTCGTCATCGTGCCGCTGGTCCTACTGTTGTTGCCACTCCGTGCGGTCATGCTGCAGTTGGTTGATCTCCATTGGGGGGTGGGCATGCTCTGTGCCTGCTGATGTTCCTTCCGCAGCACCGCTTGTTGATGGTCCTGCAACAATGTCCGCTGCTTCACGATGAAGTGCTGACTGCACGTCCTGTGCCTTGCTGACTCTTGAAAAAGGGGGCCCCGCCACACGTCTTGCATTATCCTCTTCAATCCTCTGCTGCACAATTGCACAATCCCTCTCTGCAAGGGCCCTCTCTGCGGCCCTTTCCACATTATCCTCAACAGTCTCATCCGCGACCCGGTCTTGGGCCTTTCTTATGAAACGTGCGTCGGTCAATGGTGGGCCGTCATCCCCATCCTCGAAGTCTGGGTCATCCCCCACGTTTTGGTCATACTCGCTCTCTTCCTCTTCCTCCTCCTCGGAGTCCACATCGATCTGAGCCTTTTCTTTCGCTAATCGTGCTGGTTGGCTCCTCGGTTGTGCATTGTTTTCTTTCCCACTCCAAATGATCAGATCCTCGTCATCCTCAGAGCTGGATGTATCATCATACTCATCGCCTTTCAAAATTCTCCCCCTCGGCGCTTTCCTCAGTCTCGCCTGCCTTGCCACCTCCTCATCCGTGTCCTCTACTGGCCCTGGTAAGACTCAGGATCATCGAAGAATGTTCCCCACACATCCAAGAATCCGCACTTCACACCCCGGCGCACCGCTTTCAGCTGCATGTTCCAATGTATGTACACCAATTTCGCCACACTCTCGCTTGAGAGGTTATTCCTCCTCTTCGCGTGGACCAAGTCAAGTGACGACCAGTTCCTCTCAGCGGGTATTGCGGTGCTCCACATTGCAGTCACCCTCGTCGCGATGTTCTGAAAGTCCGGATGATTGCCCCCATACGCTGCCCACTATTGTGAAGGCGTCTTCCTGGTGAGGGAACTGTGTTCCCTGCCAAATGGGTCCCACATCGGCTCATTCTTTGCCTGTTCCTTCAGCACCTCATAGTGGAATGTCCATAGACTCTACCATGTATCAAGGTGGGATTGCAATTCCCCCCATTTTTTTCCCCCCAACTGCGACTTGAAGAACTCAATCACATTATTCACTAGGGGGGACTTAGTCTTAAGCAGCCACCGGGGTTCTCTCCTGTTGGGGGACAGGAGAACGTGTGCAGCATGTGCGGGTTGGCGCATCATCTTGCAACGGTCGTCCACGAGCCTGAAAATCTCGTCCAACTGCCCCGGTGACAGCCCGTCAATATTCTGCAAGCGGCCTCGAAGCATGTCACCGAACATCCACAAATGGGAAGATGATACCCCGTCCATATCCATCCTTCTCAAAACCTCATGCACTGGCCGCATCACATTCACAACCCTGTACACCCCTTTCCACCATTCCTCTGATCTGACCCATTGGAAGATGTTCTCTGCCTTCTTCCTAGACTTCACGGCGCTCCAATGAATCTCCAGCCACCCCGTCTTCATCATGTCCTCGAGCACCCATTGCCTGTCGGTGAGTCTTAGCAGCATTTGGTAGACTGATGCAAATCGGACTTCTGTGGGGAGGATGAGGGTTTTTTTGTCATCCATTGAAGATTTGGAGTTCAGACTAACCGTGCGATGGTGGTTCTTTATGAACTTCACCATCGTCTTGGCTTGCTTCATAATCGGCAACACCCATTCAAAGTTCGATATGTCCTTGAGGAGGAGGCTCAAGGTGTGCGCCGCATGGGAGCCAGGGGATCTTTGCGATGTCGAAATCCCGCCGGCGCCGAAGAATCTTTGCAGCTCTCTTGTTCACACTGGCATTGTCTGTGCAAATGGCGTTCACCTTATGGACTCCAATCTCCCTGATTACCTCCTTCCAAAGTTTGGCAAGGGCCGTGGCGGTTTCCTTCCTGCCCGACATGTCCATCACCTTCACAAGGACCGCCCCTCCTCCTGCAGCAATGAAGTTCAAGACAGGCCTGAACTTCCTGTCCGTGCACCCATCAGTGATCAGCGTGCAACCCGAGATAGCCATCTTATCCATGATGGGCTGCACTGTCTGCTTCACCTCATCGTACAATGTGTCTAAAACGATGGTCCGGATAGCTTCGAAGGAAGTCATTTGGGTTTTGGCCTTCTGAGCACCCAACTCCATGTATAGGTTGTGGAGCGCTTTGGTCTCATCCTGTCGCACAAAGTTGAAGGGGACCCCGGAATGACACAAAGCCCTTCCCCACTGAAGGTCGAGTTTCTTCTGCGCAGTGTTTTCAGCCCATTTGCGGATGGAGGTTTGCTTTTTCTTCCCTGATTTTGCAGCACTCGTGGATGCCTGACATGAAGGATCCTCAACAGCACCCGCTGGATCGCCCTCTGTCCCCTTCTTGGTTCGTTCCTCGGATGACCGGAGTGCTGCGCCAGAAACCGCTGTCGAATCCTCTCTCCCTGGTACGGGAGGTGGCCGAAGAAGTGCCTCCATCTCGTCCACCACTACATTCTCCGCCACCCCCCGGGGTGTCATCCCCGTATCCTCTGCTATGCCCTTTTCCGCCATGTATGCATGGAGCATCCTCTTCGCTGCCTCCCCCTCAATCTTCGCCCCGCCAAACGCAAGCAAGTGCAGCACCTCGCCTGTCCTGTCTGTGCACGGCTTCCCCTTCTCAAGGAAGTGCTCAACCGCTCGAGTTGCTGAGGCTGTGAAGACTGTCTTGCACAACCTGCAACGCACCCAATACTGCCCGAAGCCCTTCGCTCTGCAGGCTGTCCCTGCTCAATCCACCGGAATACTGTTCTCTCGCGCTGTAGAGTGCGCTGGCGAGAATCAGGTTGCGGCACGAAATCAGGGGGTGTGCGCTTCACATTCAGTTTCCCCTTGCCCTTGGCCGCTGAGCTGCTGGGCTGGCTTGATGACGCCATGACTGGAACAAGTAGGAGGGAGGAGGACGAGGATGAGGACGAGGAGTGGAAGAAGAAGAAATAGAGGAGTGGAATAAGGAAAAGAAGACGAAAACGAGGAAATTGAAGAAGAAGAGGGCATGGAAGCAAAACGGAAATGGGAACCAAACATGGCGAAGCGAAACAAGGGAGAGAACAAGAATGTCAGAACTGCAACTGAAACAGTTGCAAAGAGCAAACAACTTGAAACAAGGACAGGGACTGTTGCGGAAGAGAATCATGTGCTGCTGCATGAATATCTGATAGCAAGCCCAAATGAACCGCTGCAGCAAAGAGTTGCGAAATGCTGAAGAGAACAAGCTCAGAACGGCTTCCTCATCTGCAGCATAAATCGGCAGTGCAGCGACGGTTCTAGCTCCTGGGACCAGCGTAGTCTGACTTGCATAAACCAGAACTGGCATGCACAATCCAGAAGAGCAGTGCATGGATCAAAAGCCAGAACTGAATTGCATGAACCGGAAATACAGTACCGATCCCCGAACAAGAGGGAAAGCCTAATCAGTTTCGGCTCCTGTTCTTCATTGCAGATTCGGACCCACTTCCAGTTCCAGTTGCAATCAGACTCGTCTTGTTCACACTTTTCATGCACGTGAACAGCAGCACGACAAACTGGCGACATGCGCCCACACAGTACTCAGAGATATGGTTTCCAGGTAAGTTCACTTCCACTGGCTATGGCGATTGGGCGCCTAACATCCCACTGTTCACACACTCTGGATCACCCTGGATATCCCACATGCATCACCCTGAACACTCACGCAACACCCACACACTGCACCCTATGCAACAGCTATGGCAGCTATGGCTGCAGCTAACCTATCGCTATGGCTATACTACTTCACTCTCGCCCACTTCGTCTTCGGGCCTCCTGCAGACCTTGCACAAGACGCTGAGGCATCGCTTCCGCATGGCTTCCGCATGAATGAATGAATGGTTGGGCGCGGCCTCTTGATTTATACTTCTGTGATGCGTTGGTCTGCCCTGTAACCCTGGCCCATGGTGCACACAGTCCCAGACGGTACTTGCTGGACAGGACCGGACTGACTGGACTGAGACTGTTGACTCAGCGTGGTGGACCTACACCACTTGCCCACTTGCCTCTGCCTAGACTGGGCCTAACTCCGAAAGGCCACTTCTAGAAACCTCTACTTTGGCCTTTCGGTCCTGCAGAAGCTACGACTCTGCCCTTTCAGGCAAGTAGCAACTACGACTTTGACCCTTCGGACAGTCTACAGCTAAGACCTCTAGACTGCCTAGACTCCTACCCGACAGGTCTACAGTTCGAATCCCTTCTATCTTGTAACCTACGAAGTCCTACCTACCACTGGCGGTCCTACAGGTTGCAGGTTCAACTCTACGGGTTGACACAGGTATGGTACACAGGTAAGGTGGGGAACTAGGGATCGGGCCCTGGGATCTGCATCAGCTACTGCGAACTGGTGAATACCGTTTGACAGTTTAGGATCTGAGTCAGCAGCTTAAGCCAAAACCAAAACCGGTTTGAGATTTGGGTCTGCAGTTGAATCCAAAACCCGTTCCAGATCCGTGTATGCAGCAAGAATCAAAACCAGTTCTGGTTCCTGTCTGCAGCTAATAGCAGAACTGGAACTAGAACAATAACCAGTCCCAACTGCACAACGACAACTTGGAACAAGAACAGCGTTCCCGCAACCAGAACCCAGACCAAGGTATGCAGAAACAAATCTAGTAACGGTGTCACAGCACACACACAGTGTCACACTCACACACACACGCAGTGTCCAATTACACACACACACTGTCACACACACACACACACACACACACACACACACACACACACGGGTTTCATGTCCCGACTGCAGAACCACAACCATGAAACCGGACGCAACAATTCTGGTTTGCTACAACAAGAACTGCAGTTCTGGTTTCGGTTTTCATGTCCCAACTGCAGAACCACAACCATGAACTCGAACTGTCCCGACTACACAACTGCTGCGCGACAACCAGGAAAAGTTGAGAGAGAGAGAGAGAGAGAGAGCTCTGTCATCCAATGGTAACGAATGATGCTTGCAGCCCGAGGCTGCTGTGCACTGTAGTTGCAAAGGACAGATCTTCACAGCTAAGTCCGCTGCAGTGCTCGAAGTTACATAGATTGGAATATGCGTTCCTGGATGAAAGGAACATGAATTTATGACCCCGCCAAAGAGATTAAGACGGCGCGTCAGAGAACAGGAGGAGGGGGAGGAGGAGCAGGAGGTGAAGAGATCAAGTCCAACTTTGCGGAGCCAACAAAAAGGGCAGGCGCAGAAGTACGTACGAGAAATCCGATGGAGAAAACAGAAATTGACGAAGGAAGGATAGAAAGTAGGGAGAAAAGCCATCCGACTCTCCTACCCTTTGGCGCCGGCCATGCCATTAGAGCTTCATATCGAAGGGAGGAGGAGGACGGGACAGAAGAGAAGACAAGCAAGAGAAGGAGAGGTACAGAAAAGACAAGAAGGGAATTAAGAAAGACGAGAAAAACAACACAAAAGTGACAAAACAAATCGTCATCCGCCCGGAATCGAAACATAGCTTGTGATAAACTTCTTGTCTTCGAAAACATTGATCATCATCTTCTTCCCGACCGAATTCTATCCCCTTCTCCTCTTCCTCCTATTCCTCCTCCTCCTCCTCCTAGCCGCCGATCAGCCAGCCGCTCTAAGTTATCATGGCCCCTCAACGGCGCCCGTGGACTAATGGATCGTAACGGGGCCGTTGGGCAGCTGTCTCTTATACACATCTAGATGTGTATAAGAGACAGGTATATATATACAAGGTTGCCGGCGTTCGTGACGGGCGAAACGGCCGAACCCGAACGCCCGAACGTTCGGCACCCCCTTTCGAGCAAAAAAAAAAAAAAAAAAAATCCAAAAAATATAAAAATAATATATGTTATGCATAATAATAAACTAAACAACATTTGCCTCAGCGTTACATCCAAATTATTTATTAAATTTGAAATAAAATTCAAATACTGAAAAAAAATAAATAGTAATAATAAAAATGAGAAAAAATAAAATGAGAATGAAATTATTGACTGGGCGAGCACGTTTTTGACACCGCTATCTTTATCGATTTTTCATTTTTATTTGGCTGTGACAAATGCTATGAAAATTTATATGTGTGTATCTTACGTAATAGAGAATCTACAAATAAAGTTTGAAGAAATAATTTTGTTTTTCATGCCTCAAAATAAAGGAAAAACATAAAGTGAAAAGAGAGAAGAAACAAATTAGTGAGTGGGCAAGCAAGTTTTGACACCACCGTCTTTGAGGATGTTTCATTTCTTTTTGGCTAAACAAACGACTTTAAGATTGAGAGGGAGATATCTTATATCATAGAGAACTCACACAAAAAAAATCAGAAAAACAAATAATATTTAAGTGTTAAAATATGTTTTTGCGTGGTCCGAACCCCTTCAACTTCGGGTCATGTACGGGGACCCAAACGCCCGAACGTTCGGGGGTCAGCTTAAGGGCCTTCGTACGTTCGGCCTGGCAACCGTGAATATATATATATATATACAGGGTTACCTGACCGAACGTTCGGAGGCCCCCAGGCTGGCCCCGAACGTTCGAGCGTTCGGGGAGCCGAACACCTCCAGGTTCGGCCCCCGTCAAAAACTATTTTGGGGTCTAAACATAAGTTGTTTTTTCTGAATTGTTTTTGGAGAGTTCTCCATGATGTAACCAACATGCCTATAAATTTTGAAGCCATTCTGCTAAGCCAAACAAACATTCAAAATCGTCAAAGATGGGGGTGTCAAAACGTGCTCGCGCACTCACTATTTTGTTCTTTTTCATTTTTAACTTTTTGTTTTCACTTTATTTCAGGGCCTAACAAATTTTATTATTTTTTTTGAAAAAGTTTTAATGAGTTACTGATTATGTAAACTACATATTTGTAAATTTTCAGGGCATTTTTCAATGCCAAAACATAATTAAAAATCGGGAAAGATGGCGGTGTTGAAAAGCTGCTGGCACACTCACTCATTTTGATTCTCTTTTTATTTTTTCTTATTTTTATCACAGTGTTTACTTTTTGTATTTGATTTTTAATTGAAATGTGGTAAAGAATTTGGATGTAGTGCCAGAGTCGCACTGCCCGGGCGGCACTGCCGGGCCACCCGGGCGGCACTGCCCGGGGGGGTACCCGCCCGGGGTACCAGTGCGACTTAAAATCCGGGTGAATTTTTTTATTTTTTATTTTTTTGGTTGGCGGTCCTTTTTGTGCCCCCCTGGACCTCTGCAAATCTGGGTTTTTTTTTTTTTTTTTCCGCATCTGCCATCTGGCCCTGTAGGGGTCCGTGCTTCAGGGTCTGGTAAGGATTCCCTAGCCAGTCCGGGGGAGTAGCTGCAGAGGTCTACACTGCTATGTACCACATGTACCTGAACTGGATTAAGGTTAAGTACATCTAGCACCGAGCTAGAAGAAGTTTTGGCGGGAGAAGTGCAGGCTTGGAGGCCTGAGGGTGCACAGATAGAACCCCCGGGCCGCGAAGAGTAAAAGAACTGGTCATGAGCAACGTCCCTTTGCATGCTGCATTGTAATTTAGGTCATTATGCTGCCCATGTGATGTGGGAGCTGTGTGAGATGGAAGCTATTAGAAGATAGCCACTTGAAGCCCAGCAGCGATGGTGGCGAGGACGATATCTACGGCAGATGCTTCCTAGCTATGGAACCTGTCTTTGTCACACTCCTACTCGGTCGAATGCCTGCATTAGGGAGCCTGCAAGACGGTGTACAGGCTCAGTAAATGCAGAGGCATCATAAAGGCATGGGATTGGGCAAGATACATGGTTGAGAATCCACATCGAGGCCTGCTGGATCTTGTCCGACACTAACAGGAGTGATGTCCGACTTCCCTGAGGGGTTGTGGTTTGCACATATGTCAGTGACACTGATACCGAGTTGTGCTCTGCACATCCGTTAGTGAATTAGAGGGTGAGCAATAATGGTTGAGTGGTCACATATTGGTGCATTCATTATTCATTCCTCTTTCCATGTTCTTTAGATTTTCGAATTCCTTGTGGAGTAAGATCCAGAGGTGTTAAAGGTGGTGAGTCGAGGTATTGCTTTTGACGTTGTCTGTTCTGTCTTCTCCTGATTTCTCTCTCTCCGAGTCTCTTGTCATTTCATTTTTTACTTTGTCTTTGGAGCATTCGTTGTGTTGTGGTGCATGAAAGGACTTCAAATTTCGCCTTTCATGAGTAAATATTGACGAATCATAGCAAAAGCATTACACTTCACTGCCACCTCCCAGTGAAAGGCATTTATACATACGCATATGATGACCTTGACTTATTTGGTTGGGAGGTCTCCCCTGAAACAACTATGCACTGCATATGGAGTGTTGGTGTATGCATACAACTGTGTGTGTGTGTGTGTGTGTGTCTGTGTGTGTGCGTATGTGAGACACACACACACACACACACACACACACACACACACACACAGAGAGAGAGAGAGAGAGAGAGAGAGAGAGAGAGAGAGAGAGAGAGAGAGA